TAGAATGCTTTTTTAAGCTGTTTAGCTTCTAATCTTAATAATAATAACAATAATAACAATAATAATAAAACTCATAATAATAATAATAATAATATCGTTGCAGAGCGTGTCACTTATTATCTTTTGCTTACCAGGTTATCGTTATTTTCTTTGTTTAATTGCAGTATCTTGATTTTCAGATCTTCGATTTCATTCCTATACTTGGCTATTTGGTCATCATTCTTTAAATCAATAAGGACTCATTATTATAGTTAAATTTTTTTTATCTCAAACAGGACTTTACCTTATGTGCGATAGAGCAGTTTGTGTATGACTGTGAAAAGCTCAGTGCAATATGTGTGCCTTGCCGTGACCGTGATGTTTTCTACAATTTTAAATGATTGGCTTATTTTTTTTCTTCTTGCGCAATTTGATTGGTCGGGCAGTGCAGTGAATGTGTGCTCGCCATGTTCTTTTTTGTGTTTTGGATATTTGATTGGATGGAGAGTAAATTCTCGCGCAATATTTTTAACTAGAAATTTAGCTAGAAACCAGACAGACCAAAAAAAAAAAAAAAAGGATYATATGTTCTAGTACTTAGCGCGATATTTTGCCTATGTTGCCTTACATATTCCAATCTACATTTTTACCCAAACCATTAATGTTTTCAAACAAACCTGTAATCTTTCTTTTTCATCATTTGCGATTCTAAGTTCATCAAATACACAGCGTAGTTTCTATGTAAAAAGAAGATGAGAGAGACAGTAAGCTCAAATGCGCRCATTCAAATATTTGCCAAATTATATTTCCATTATATAAAAGAAAGGGGTACGTTACCATTTCCAAATCTGATTTCTCGCTCATCAATCTTTCCAAGTTGTTGTTGCTTTGATCGATGAATTCCTACAAATATTACAGATACATCATGATATAAATGAGGCGTTTTACAGATATTTACTGCTAGCAGCAGAGCAGACAAGAGTACTGTACCGGATAGCATAGCAGTGCATAGAAGACGAGAGAAAAATAATAAAGGAAGGAAGGAAGGTAGGAAGAATGAGAAAGTGCAAGAGAGGGGAATAACTGGAACGTGTGTTTACACTTTTAACTTACTTGGAATACACATTCCTTGACAAAACTTACCAGATTATCCTCATTCTCCCTTTTCATTTGAATCAATTGGATGTGAAGTTTTTCTATTTCATTCTTGTAGTGATTATCCCCATCATTGTCCTATAGATCAAAATTATAAATCATATAGGTTATACAATTATCGTTTCATGTGACCAGGAAGTAAGAAAGCTCACACCATCCCGTCGTAAAAACAATATAACACGAGCATAAGAACAGCCACTGAGTAGCTAAGTAACGGCTCCTCTACCTTGCGCTTCCAAGATGGGGGACAAACCTGATGCGAATGAGTTTGAAGGGACTATTAACAGTCTACCCAGAAGCAGATTGGAAATTGAGCCCTGGCTAAACGAGGAAACACGTATACCGCTTGCATGCTTCCTTGATGTTTCCACATAGAAAACCACATAGAAAAACACGTATAAAACCTAGTTCAGAAATTGAATCCAAGACCCCATAGGTTTCATCACACATCATCCGTACTATCCAATCACTAGATGGAAAACAATGTCACTCGAAAGTTGCAGATGCCCAGGGGGAGAAAAATGTTTTGCTGGTTGAAGAAGGAATTACGGCGCAACGCACAAAAGTATTACAGCTTTTAATGTATTCACATACTTCAATGCACGGGCTTTCGTACATTAAACCAACATATTTAGATGCAATGCTGGCTGGTCTTACCAAATGAGGCGCGTAAAAGTATGCAAATACATTAAATGAGGTCATACTTTTGCGCGTTGGACTATAAAATTAAAGTGTATACTTAATTATTCTTTACCTCCGTTTGGATTTCTTTTTCTACGAATTCAGACACAGAAATCGAAGGATGGCGGGAGAACGAACTGAAGAAATAGAAACAAAACCAAAAAGTGAGTAAAGCCTTGTCCTTATCTCGTTTAAAGTAAGGATCGAAGTAGAGAAAGAAGAAAGATTGGATCGAGGGAAGGAGTGAGAAGAGGAAGGAGGAGAGGAGATCAGAAAGAATGAAGGAAGGAAGGAAGGAAGGAGGGAAGGAAGGAAGGAGGGAAGGAAGGAAGGACACAAGCACGATTAAAACCATACCTTGGTGGATTATCAGAGAATTTAACCCTACGTAGTTTTTCTCCACTACGCCTCTTTCTTTCTTCCTTCACCAATAACTTTTCGAAATTGTTTGAACTAATGAAATCTGATTGGTTAGCATCGCTTTCCTCACTACTACTGGACATAGATCTTTCTGACTCGAAGTTAGAGAGCACCGACTGGGCTAATGCTGCAGCTGATTCTAGTGGATTGCTAGACAACGTAGCGCCAGCACCCGGACACCAAGTTTCTCTCCTCTGTAATGAAAATATTTAGTAAATTTATTTAGAATGGTTTTCATGGGTATGAAACCAATACAGCTAGGTACGTGATCTTGTGTCGATCCAACATATTGTTACGTAGGAGCCTCTCCGGCGTTCTGAGTTTATAGCCAGYAACTTGCTTGAACCAGACTCTACACAATGATCTCAAGGGACGCTTTGAAAGGTGGAGCAGATTGTAGCTCCTACGCAGAATACTTTGGGATCATTAAGCAAGGTTTCTGCCTTCTTAGAATCATCACTGTTTTCATTGCTATGCGCAATGATATCTATCGTCAACAACTCTACTCGCATATGACACTGAGTCCGGGACTCGAACCTGYGTCACACTGGTAAGAGGCGAGCGCTCTCACCACTAAGCCACCCGTGCTTTCGTAAATAATCTACTTCTACTTTCCATTTTATCATGAAATGAGAACCATAGATTTGCCCGGTCAGCCAATGGCCATTAAGTGGTACCTTCATAAAACGAGTACGAAATATTTATTTATTTTGTTTATTGGCGCTCGTTATCATAAATCAATAACACTTACATATTGAGTCTAACGTGTCTTACCTTGGCAAACTTGGTGCGCTTGGTATTATTGCCTTCTTTTTCTGTCAGCCGCGATGAATTCAAGAAAGATGCTGTCAGCTTTTGTATTTGCTTTTCATGTTGAGCCTAAAAATCGAAATAAAAATCGAAATAAATATAGTGGCACCTCTATAATAAGGACACCGATGGGTCAGAAAACAGTGTCCTTAAAAAAGAGATAGGGTCTATGAAACAAAGAAGGTATGGTGATTTTGCTATTCCAAGGCTGAGGGGGAAAAACTGGATCGTTTAAGTGCAGTGTCCCTTTAAAAACTCCCACAAGTCACTCCAATGACGACTCGACCCAGTTTTTTTCCTTAACCTAAGGTGTTCGTAAGGAGAGGTTCTGTTAAACAGCTTTCTAAACAGGTAAAGCGTTCTTTATAAATCTTAGCTTTGCAGAAAACTGGCCAGGAAATAGCAAAGAACAGATTTGTACGAAAAATGCAAGTTATAGAAAGTTTACAGACGTCCTTTGCACCGTGACCGGGACGGCTGCACGCTCCAATTTTGAATGGATAAGAGGTGCATGGAAAACCTTGCGCGCTGGGAACGTTTCAACTTCAATTATTCTGTATTTGATCATTCTGTATTGACGAGTGAATGATTCAAGGATATTAAAAATTATGGTTTAAAGTGCATTTGTCTCAATTTTTGCTAAGTACCAAACGCAAACTCACCTTGGAATCCTCCAGCTGTTTTTGAAACTGAAAATAAAGGAACTAATGATCAACGACGTGAAATCAGATGACCTACTCCCGCTCACTGTAGAAGGGAGGGTCAAAAGTGCATGGTGTAGGTTCTGTTTTATAGTCTCCCTTTGCTTTCACAAAAGATTTAGTACGCCACAACTACTTTAGTCCAACAAATGCGTTCGCCATAAATGCTCCACTGACTCACCTAACACACAAACAAACAATCAAACACAAAAACAACAGCCCTCACAAAAACAGTGCACTCCAAAAGCCTATACAATTGTCCTCTAATCTTAACATCTTAATGTTAAAAATGCTAAAGAATGACGTTCAAGACACCCACCTTTTCCTTCTCGCTCTGTAGCTCCGACAAGCAAGTATTTTCTTGTAACTACAAATATACCAAATRAATGATCAATATCAGCACTAACATGAATGTCATCAGTCTGAGGTTTTCAGTGTGAATTCCATTACCTTTGATATTTGTTGCCTGAGATCTCGGATTTCTTTTTTCATTCTCTTTAGCATTGCACCATCATCAAGGACCTAAAATACACAAGTTTGTTTTTAATGGTTTCACGTTGAAACTTGTCGCTGATACTTGGTGCGCTTCTTTTAAATTTCAGTTGCATAAGCTGTGAGCTTGTTTCACAGATTTGAGTAAAAGTTTCACGTCTAAATTTTATGTCTAGTTTGCCGTGCACAAAAGCGGGCACTTTGTCATCGATCTCCATCAGGTAACGAAAGCCGAGGTTACGTATAGAGTATAGAGCACTCAAAATAGGTGTTTGACAGCACTTGTGGTCGAAAAAATAAAACTACTGTAGTAGCGCACTTCTTGATGCACTCCATTCACTCATCTAATAGACAGAATACTGAAGAATTACCTCATTTACTGAAGGGCAGTTCTTGATTGTTTTTGCTCTGCTTGCAAACTAAAACCAACAAAAACCATATCACAAATTAAATTGCAATCTTATTTTCAAACTTAAATTCTTGAAACTGATTTTTCTTGGTACTTGAAATTCAAGGTGCACAGGAATGTGCTTCTAACTAAGAAGGGGAATGGGCACGTTATCTCCTGCTTTTTTTTGGACAAGAAAGGTTGTGCAGAGTCTAATAATTGAATGGAAAGAATCCATTTCTTTTCGAGAAAACTTTTTCAATCCCTTTTGTTCTACAAACTCGCGGTAGAACGAGTTCAGTTATTGGTAAGACAATAGCGTCCTTTAGCATAAGGTTTACCGCTAACCGCTAGGGATCAGGCCCAGAAACAGCCCCGCAAACACGGAGAAACACTCAGCATCAATGAAGTTTAATATGGCAGCTCTTATAGCAATAACATCGTTATGGCGGCTCTTATAGCAATAACATCGTTATGGCGGCTCTTATAGCAATAACATCGTTATGGCGACTTGTCGCTAAATGTCGAAGTTTGACGGAAAACGCCTGACGTCGAACTGCAGTTTGAGGTTTGCGGTACCTAGAAAGAACGTCGTGCCATAAAGGTCTCTAATTCTGTAGTTACGCCTTATAATACCRGTTGTGTACTGAGCAGTAACGCGTTGTGGTTAAATGGGAAGCCTATCTAATGTATATTATATTGTAATTATATTGTAAATCTGTGCCATACGTTTCTCAGTCATTTGAACATCAATCTTTTTGATGAACCACACATTATGTACACTGACCTTTAAAGTACTGATAGACTCTTCAACAGATGCAGGTGTGACGGTACACAGGATGCCCGTCTTGGCATTACCACCCAAAGAACTCTGGAGTATTCTTGTCAGCTTCGAGTCACGGAACGGAACAAAGCTGCAAGAAAACACCAAGGTGTCCTTAATTTTTTGTAAATATTCTTATTTCCTTGATTTTGATTGTATAATGCCCCCAGATATAATGAGCACAGCCTAAATTTCAGTTTAAAACTTCTGCTCCAAGCACTTGCATGTTCTTAATTGTTATTTTGTTTACAGTGTACAGTACCTCTCTCCTTCACTGAGCTTGGCAATAACAGAACCCAGAGTAAAAAGACTCTTGTTGATGTGAGCCCCTTCCTTTAGCCGCAGTCCTTCTGCTCCCGTAAGAGAGACTCGTTCAGATCCTGCAAGATCCACCAAGTTCTGCCAGGACAAAATAAGAAGTCATAAGAAAAAGGGAGAGAGAGAAAAGGAAAGAGCTGAGATGGAAAATGTAAAATGAGAAAATGAAGAATTAAAAAACAAATGGAATAATTGGAGGAAACTTGAGTGAATGGAGAAAGGGAGGGGGGAGGGAGGGAGTAAAGAGGCATGGAAGGAAGAAAAGGTCCAAGAGACTACAGTAATAAAAAAAACGAACAAACATGTGTCCAGAAACAGCGCATGCCATGATTTAATAGTGTTTTTGTGTGCCACATAGCTAGCTTATTGAAACAGGATGATTACTTTTTCCTCAGGGTTTAGTAACTTACCAACTGAGATACCAAAACTGCTCCATCAGCATCATCTGAGTCTTGATCTACCTCTGGTCCAACTCTTTCACGGCTCTCAATATGCTGTAAACAAAACAAAAAAACATGTTATTGGATTAGGAAATATGGTCTAATATCCCTGAAATCTCTTGAATCCTTGTTCACCAGTCCACATGGGATACTAAACTGGTTGGAATTTTAAAAAATTGGAGAACCCAGAGAAAATACAGTCTGTAACAGTCAAAATGAAGGGAGACGCCTAACCAACCATAATCACGTACTATATAATACTGAGTCCAGGAATCAAGCCTGTGACTTCAGAGGTGAGAGCCGAATGTACTACTGAATAATACCACTTTTGAAAAGATGAAAAAAAGTACTGACGTTTCGGACGCTAGTCCTTCGTCGGAGTAAAAAAGCTTTTTTCATCTTTTTACAGTGTATAATTTACCCTTTTATCATTACTGTTTCATTAGAAACACTGACGCGGCTCACACTAGTTTTTAGCTAGTTATCTCTTCTCACTAATATTAAATAAGACCATGCATATATGTACAATACTTACAATAGCAAATATAGTGTGTGATCTGCTACTCTTATCATTCATGTTTGTCTCTCCAAAGTGCCTATTTTCTGTAAAAAGAAATTGGAGTTGAAAAAAATACATGTAAGAATGTGTACATGTAGATTTTGAATGAGAAGAACTTGACATACTAAAGAGATTGCTGATCACCAGCTGTTGTTTATACCTACTGTTCTTACATTTACATATCAAGCAGATTTTTATCAGGATAAATAAAGATGTTATTACTGTATTACATGTATTATTATTATCATTATTATTACTATTATTATCATTATTATTATTACTATTATTATTATTATGAAACAAATGATTACTGAATGCAAACATGTGAATTATGAAATAAATGTTCTAAACATTCACATTAATTTTATTATAATTTATTTAACAAAATTAATGTACTGTAAAAACTTACTTTCTCCTTCAACCATAAGACGATACAGCTGCTCAGATCCATTGACAGGGCACTGAGTGACTCCACTGACAAACACCTCTTTCTGTTGGATTCAACAATATACTGATTTGTTTACAGTGGCTTCTAAATTACATGCCAAAATTGTACAGTCTGCTGTTGTGATAAAGTAGCTAGGCTTTGGTGGAATTCAGTCAAGGCACTTCCATGGCATAGGCATGGCATGCCATTGGCATATTGCCTCCAAAAGCTTTGTGTTTGATCAGACAATGTTGTAAATACTGTATATTGTAATAAATATTTTGATTGATTTATCATAAAACTTTATTTTGTTGCAAAATAGAAAATTGTACAATTTCATGCATGTCATTGAGAAATACTAATATTTTTGAGAATCCCTTTTGCATTTCCTTCCTTTTGGAAAGGAATGCTAGTTCTCTTTTTCAATCATAATACTCTTTCATGTCAACAAACCTTGGAGTTTTCATGGATCTTGAGGTTTTTATTTGTAGGATTCAGCAAGTCTGTTATAACCTAAGAACAACAAAATAAATTTAAAAAAATTGTCAACCCTATTTATTATCAAAGCTTGGGCATACCTGAAAACAGCTTGAGGACAAGGCAAAGGACAAGGCTCTGTGGCGTTCAGATGTTGTTGATGGCCTATGCCCCACGAGGGGTGTACAGGCTTAGGAGGAGGGAGGAGGATTTATTATCAAAATAGTCATTTTGGTTAAGTTGTGATAAGTCAAGGCCTTGTAAATACATGTAAATAATTGGATGGGTTGTCAATTGTGATTTCATAATTTCATTAGGGGCGAAAGGCAAATGATGATCAGTGTGGGGCAGCATACAGTGTACATAATTTATTCAAAACATGAAAAATTGACAGTCTAGATGTTTTTAGTGGTTTCCTTGCCTACAAACAAGTAACTAAATATCTCAATAATAAGGTCTTTATTATTGAAATATTAGTCATTCCTGCTATTATTGGATCTTGGAATAATCTACCTCCTATATTGCTAATCACCAGCTATCACTTATTACCTGTTGCCATTCACCCCTTCAATATTTCTTGAAATAACAGTATCTCTACACAACAGCTAAGAGAAACTCCTTTCCCAACTCTTTTGTACAAAGCTAAGGTCTTAAATATTTCCTCATCTACCTGGTTTGGTACCCAGCTATCCAAAATCCACAAATTGCTTTCCAAAGATGACACTATCACAAAGCAATACTCACCTCGTTATATATCTCCATGTATGTCACAACAAGAAGGTACTCTCTGGCTGGATCCTATAAATCAAGTCAAAAGTTAAATGTTTTTTTAATTGGGAATGGTTGTCGTTTTTTGATGCATAGCTATAGCTAAATGAATAAGTGTAGGTCTTTTATGATCTTCTGACTGATCATAGGTTGTAGCTGGGTCAGTACAGAGGATGAAATGTTGTATAGGTGAAAAGAGTATTAGAAGGTTCATTGTTTTTTATGTGGTAATTTAAAGACTTACACCCAACGGTACTCCCTTCCACTACTGATTTTGATGCTACCTGAGTATACAGTGTATAGCATACATGTAGTATGTCTACAGGTATTGTGAACCAACCCTAAAACATCAATCAAGTACTACACTGTAGTTAAATGAAAAGATCAATTATTAAACTAAGATATTTTAGTGTACCTCATTTATGTGGTCAAACATATTTGTGATGGCAAGCTGGATGATTCCAGGGTTGTTCTTGTCACCCAGCATGGTGTAAGTTTTCCCCGAGGAGGTTTGCCCATATGCAAATATGGTGGCTAAGGTAGAAAGTAGAACATACAGTATTAAAAAATATATACTGCCTGGGTGTATAAGTACTGCACTCTTGTCTCAGCTTAACAAGCTTGAATACAATAAGGTGCCTTTGGCAGCCGCTATACAGTCCATGTACATGTATGATGCAGGAACACAGCTCTAACGTAATCAGGAAAATGAAAGATTTAAGTGTCTATGTCCTGAGACCTGAAAGTTGATGATGTGTATTTGGATTATCGCATAGGGTACATGGTGGAGTAGGGAAAGTCAGTGGAGAGGAAAAAGTACACCCTTTTTTTTTTTTTTTTTTTTGAGCTTTGGCAACACCCATTGAAACCAATACTACAAGATACCAAAGTGACCAGTCAATGTAACTGGTCGAGAGGAATGACCTGAGAGGTGTTTGGTCAGACATGACTATTGGTCACATCAGACTGATCTACATATGAGTAGTCAATGTGACTGGTCAAGAGGAATGACCTGAGAGGTGTTTGGTCAGACATGACTAGTTATTAGTCACATCAGACTGATCTACATGTGACCAGTCGAGAGGAATGACCTATTTAAAGGGCATTTGTCTCAACTAGTGACAATTTACTGGCCATTATTTTTAGCCTTGTCAGCACTGTCACTCACCATTAAACCCCAACATGGCTGATTCGATCATAGGTTTGGCAAATTTTTCGTACACATCTTCTGTGGTATCAATTTGATCAAACACTTGATCTAAAGTGACACAATAAAAAGAAGAGATATCTAAGCAACAAATCACAGTGGATTAACAAAGTCAAACATCAACTTTATTGAGTCCTGAAATTAGCTAAGCTGATTGGTTGATCTAAGTCAGACAATAGATAACTCACAGAATCTAAATGGAATTTAGCATATTGAGTTTTGTGGGGTGGAGGGAATGATCAATTATATCCTGATTCCAAGAATAGTCCCCTTCACAGTACTTCCTTGCGCCATCTTGAAAGGTTACAGCACCTGTGCATCGAAGGGAGAATGTTGGTGACCTTGCAATGATAGACTTGTGAATAATTGTCCAAGGTGTTTAAAGAGGTCTCTTAATCATTGCAATGTCACTGTTGTTCTTGCTTTGATACACAGGCATGGTTACCTTTAAAGATGATACAGGGGACTGTGAAGGGAACTATTGCACCAAAGACCCCGATGCAAATGAGTGCACTATTGATGCACTACCTTGAATTCTTTACAGTTTATGACTCACATTATCTACTATTCGAAGTCAATCAAGTTTATAACATACCGAAAGTGAAGCAGGAAGTTGACAAAGGTTTACCATTACTGATCTGAGTGATGCTGTTGCCATTCACTCTCCAGCTGCTTTGCTGTGATGATTCTTTCTCTCTGCAAAATATAGACAAAGTTCTTTCAATGCGCTGATATTCCGGTATTTTATGTACAGTATAATACCCAAATACACCCATACACGAGTTCGTTTTTTTTACTAGTATTATACATTTTTAGGGATAAAGCCGTGAATAAAACCATATCAGTGAAGTGATACAATATCACTTCACGGTAAACTGGAAACTGCAAGTTTTGTGTAATAAAATGTTCACTCGTTTTCATTATATGATATAAGATCACTTTTAACATGTGATAGATCTCTATTTACTGCATGAAGAATGGCGGAATCAGATGTTTCATACGATATCCCAGGTCTCCATAACCTACCTCCGAATCAATGGCCTCACCCTTATCGCTACTTGTATGGAATCAGTAGCCATCTTAAACCTAAAAATACAATTCAAAAAAGACGATCTCCGATTATGACATGTATAAAGTCAACAGACATTTTGAAGTCTGAAAACTAGCTAGTGAACAAATTGATCTTAGAAAAAGTTGTCATAAACGACAAAATAATATAAATATTACTTTACAAAATTCCAGCATATACTCACCTAATAACGCTTTTTCGTATCCCCGAATTATACCATTCGAATCTACGCCTTTCTAGTAAAAAAAAGGTCGAATAATGAAGAAAAATCAAAGCGCTTTCCTCCTGGAATGCAACTCGATCAGTAAAGTTTTCAAATAATGGAGGTAAAAAGAACGGGGCCTTTGATTGGCTAGAATTGACTCATACCCAGGCTTTTTTCTTATTCACGTTCCAAAAGATAACCAATCAAATTTAGTTTTATAATCCTCGAGTTTATATTATTGAAAATGTGATTGGATAAAATATTAGAATATTAGCCAATAAGAGGCTCTGTTAGTTTTGCAGGTTTTGAGGAAGAAGAAGAACACCAACAAGATGGCGATTGAGTTTGAAAACAACTTTGTTGTGACTGATTCCATTGAAATGTCCTCTTATTCCTTTGAAATCGTGTACAACAAGATGTGCTGGGGAGTCACAACCTCACTATAAGATGGAGGTAAGGAGATAATTCTGGTTGTCATGCCCTATAAAAGGCATTTTTAGAACAGTTTTGCCAGCTGGGTGGAACTTGTTTCCCTTTTGTTTTGATCTCTAAGCTGCTAAGCTGGCCTACTTTCATATATTTAGATCGTACAAAGAAGTCCCCGACCATTCGGAATTTTCCCCAAAAATTTTGTACTATTTTGAACTATTTTTTGATAATTTTTTTAATGTGTTTGCTGTTTTCACAGCAAATATCACAAGAAAAACAAAACATCTTGCTGTGTTATTACGCTACGTAATATATAAGCTTAAATTAGGAAAGGTTCCATATTAATAAGGTGTCAACTTTTCGGACAGTTAAAATAGATTCTTATTAGTTCAGACGCGTAGACAATACAATCAGCTTATCTCAAGTGCTTCAAGATTCAAGTACGACCGCAGTAAAAGTTCAACCTTCTTCAAATTCTGCTAGACGTTATGTAATGAATATGCATAAACACTGAAAGGAATCCACAAATAATATTTATTTATGGGCTTAGGTAAGGGGGGAAAAATTGAAATTCAGGAAAATCTAAAATCTAAGATTGTTTACTGAAGACACAATAGGGAAAATATAATAGACCTTAAATATTCGTCTTGCCACAATGTTTCCCTTTTTTAGACCACAGGTTATTTATTAGAGAATAAGATTCTTCATTTGAGTTGTATCCATATTCACAAAGAAAACAAAGAAACAATACTTAACTCTGAACTCTTAAAACAAGGATGATTTATTTAGCTCTATGACAAATGTGCACTTATCTCTGTACTAAACATAGTATACTGGGGCCTATATTGGTAAGGATGAGAGGCAAGATAGCTTAGGAACACAGAGAGTATCTATTAAGTATTTCACATTGGGTTTTGAGTTCTCAACATTTCTTATGTTTATGAAGTACAGATATTGATCTAGAACTAAGTAACTTTTTATTGGTTTTAAATGTTTCCGGGCAGCTATACGTCAGCATCTCAGTAAATATGTCATGTTTTACATCCAGTATACAGAGTAATCAACAATCAGTGCAAACATTTTGTTAACAATCTAACTTGATTTATTTTAGAATAAGAATGTTGAAGAAGAGTTGGCATCTTTTAGAAGAGAATGGAAAGAAGAGTTACATTCACGAGAGAATGCAGCTGGTAGGCAGTCACCAAATGTCTCAACAGAAGGAAAGACAAACAAGACGTATGCTAAGGTCCTTCAAGAAAAAGCACCTGTGAAGACCAATCAAAGCAAGGCTTTGTGCAATACACAGACAACAAGTTCTTTGAAAGAGAGTGATGATGTTGTCAGTAGTGTAAAATTGCCACAGTTGGGAGATAAAGAAGATGGTAGTGTTAACATTAAAGAAAAGGTAAGAAAAGTTATAAAAAAACACTAAAATATTTAGACTTGTAGTTTACAGCCTTTCTCAATCACGTGTGCCCTCTAGCAATATTGTTTCAGTTGCGATGAAAGTAGGTTTTGGTGGACGTCAATCAAGACATTCCATGACATTGTCAGAAAATGCAAAGTTTTCAAGAGCACATGCCTATATGGAATGTTTTGAAAAGTTTTTTTTTTACTTATAGAATTCAACCATTGTTTGTTTCATTTTAAAGGCAGAGAAACTTTTTCGAAAAGCAGCATCACTGGAGAAAAATGGTCTTGCTTATGAAGGTATGTTTTACACATGAATCAGCCATTATAATTAGTATTTATTTAATAGTATTACGGTGATATTGGTAAAGTTATGTAATAAATAGTCATAAATTATATTAGTGTACAATGACTTATATTTACTGCATCACTGTTTTCATTGCTAAGCACTGATGAAGACAACAGTCGCAACAGGGAAATTGGAAATGTGCCATCAGAGTATGTCTAAGTATATTAAGGTACCAACCCATTGATTTCACTGACGGTTGTTCGATTTCCTATCTCGACTGTTGTCTCGATCAGCTCGTAGCAATGAAAACAGTGGTAACATGACATTATGTTTTATAGCACTTAAGTTTTACAGAAAAGCAATCCAGTTGGTGCCAGATATTGAGTTCACAATCACAGACTTCTCCAGCTCTTCAGGTTTGTTGTGCCTCTTTAAGAATTTTTCAAGCAATTTCCATGTTATATTATCAATGCATATTGTATTGAATTAATTTGATATTATTTTAGATGAGGAAGACCATTATGATGATGACTATGTGATCAAAGAATCAGCCATCAAGTATGTCTATTTTTTTGTCCTACCAATAGGTCATTTGCACAAACATGTCACTCACATACTGGGCGACACTCTTAAATGAATCATTGGAGGAGTGAAAATGGAACCAGAAATGGAATAAGCACCTTGTTATCAGTAATTGCAGTACTTATGCATGCAATGCATGTAAAGGGTGGCATGGCATAGCATGTGCTGCAATTGTGCAATATTGTGCTGTCTCTCACTTCTGCATGTAGTTCATGCCTGGGGTCACAGGTTTCGGCTTTAAACTGAAACATCAAAATTTGTTTATATGTTCTCTTCCCTTGCCATGAGGATTTTACATTGTACTCTGACCGGTTTTTCTCCCTCCCTAAAAATCAATATTCCTTTTAGAAGCTAAGACAGAGTTAGGAAATTCAGAACTTCTGACTCCTTCCCAGGTTCACCCTTGTGAACTTTGACATTCTTAAGTTCTTAATCGTTTTATGGTTTTATAATCCTGCTAACTAATTTTATCATTATTTCATTGCAGCATTCCTGGGATTTCCAGTCTAGCACATGGAATCCACAATTTGTCCTTGAGTGGTTTCCACTTGTGTGAAAAGGAATATGAGTCAAGGGTGAGTATAGGCAAGCAACACTTACATGTATATACTTCACAGGTGCACTTGTAGGTCCAAGTATAGACTGCAAGGTGATTTGATTGATGTCGATCATGTCTATAAATAGACCTAGCTTTTTAGCCTGGGTATGTTTTGACCCATTTCAGACAACATGATATGTCATTCTCTAGTGAGAACAGGTTTTTTGAGTTGAGTTGTATCCATATTCATGTATCTTCTTAAGTGTAATCAGAAAAAAATGCACCCAAGTAGGAAAACATTGCATCCAAGCCAATGCTTGGAGCCATAATGGTGAAGATGTGTATAGTTAAGAGAAGTGAACATGTTTTTTATATCATTTTCTTTTTTGTTATTCTAGGCAACTCATATTTCAGACATACCAGTTGAACTGTTGATGTATATATTCAAGTGGGTTGTATCTACAAGTCTGGACTTCAGATCCCTTGAGCAAGTTTCTATGGTATGCTTATAATAATGATATATTAGAAATTCTGATATATGACAATTTCTTCCTCCTGAAGTGGCACCAACATAAAAGTTCTTTATCCCCAAACTTTTTCCAGAAAATACTCCCAAAAAAATGCTAGAGTGCTCACACTAAATCCGTGAAACAAATTACTAATTTTTAGCAGTAAATAGTGATAATTAAACAATAGAAAACAAAGGATTTTGTATGGAATAGTACTAATTAGTACTATTTAATGTTCACAGTTTTAGTGCGTGCACTCTATTCTTAGGACTTCCTTGAAGCTTGTTTTTTTTTCAAACATCTCAACTCCCCCACCTCTGGTATTAAGAGAGGAGGCTTTATATTTCTTAATGCCTATAAAGAAAATCACATGCAAGCACTTGCAGAGGCTAATTGCTCAATTCTTTTAGGTTTGCAAAGGTTTTTATGTCTGTGCAAGAGATACAGAAATCTGGAAATTGGGCTGTCAAAGGTAAATTTACTTTCTGCACCCACAGCTTACTGACACCTTAAAATCACCTTCCAACAACTTACTGACACCTTACTAGCCACTTTCTAACAGTCTACTGACACCTTGTCAACCCCTTGCTGACACCTTACTGACACCTTACTGACACATTACCAACACCTTACCAACCACTTACTGAGACTTCTTCAACACCTTACTGACACCTTAAACTCACCTTCCAACAATTTCCTGACACCTTACTAACCACTTTCCAACAACTTACTGACACCTTGCCAACCCCTTACTGACACCTTACCTTACTGACACCTTACCAACACCCTACCAACCACTTACTGACACTTCTTCAACACCTTACTGACACCTTAATAACACTACTTACACCTTATCAACACCTTAACCACCAATTCACTGTCACATTATCAACACCTTATCAACTACTTAATCACTGACGCCGATGCCTTGCCAACCATTTACCAACCATGTTCATGTCCTAAGATTAAATTGAAAAGACTTAATATGGTTTTACTGTATTTGACAGGATGTGGGGTGTCAACTGTGGTTCACCTGTTCAGTGGGATCATGGTTCATGGAGGTTGATGTTTATTAACAGACCACACCTTTGGACGCAAGGTAAAGTACATTGACTTATATATGAATCATGACATTTAACATTATTTAGTTAGCCCATTGACTTTAAAAAGGCAACTGCCATCCATGCTTTAATAGCTCAATGTTCAGTACACATGATACATATGGTACGGTAAGTGGTTGGTAAGTGGTCGGTAAGATATGGTCAGTGATGTAATGGTTAGGTAACGGTAAGGTAACGGTAAGGTAACAGTAAGATAACGGTAAGCTAATATTGGGCATTCTTCTCACATTTTATAGGTATTTATATCAGCAAGACAACATACATGAGGCCTAGCGAAAAAGTAGAAGACATCTGGTCAATGCAGCTTGTCACATACTACAGATACTTAAGATTCTTTAATGATGGTAAGTGAAGAAACGTACCAGCCCTGCGTTATCGACTAATAGACCCCTTACATGCGACGTCAAAGCAGCTCAATTTGGAGGACAAAACAAAAGAATTTCAATCTTATGTGAATTGGAAACCTATTGTTATGTCCTTCAAATTGAGCTGTAATCCGATGTGCAGCAAGGGATCTATACCTGTTTGTATTATCATACTTATTAGGAGCCGTCCATGTGGTAACCACTCCAGATGAGCCTCAGATTGTGGTTCCCAGATTTAGCCAGCCAGGTCTCTCAATGATGCAAGGCCACTACAAAATCCTGGGAAACAAGGTTTGTTTAGCATATAGATGTCTTAAAAGTTAGGCGTGGGGAGGGTGGGGGAATAATCTGAAGTTGGTCCTCACTTTATCGGATACTTCTTGAACAATATTAAGTTATTTAGCAAAACACAAACTCTTGCTTTTTTCTTGTAAAAAGTAATGATTTCATCTAAGCTCCCTCCCCTCCTCCCCCTGTCATGTTACCCACCCCAGTACACCCCCTGGGATGTGAGGCATCCTAATAATCTCTTTTGGATATTACTGCTGTAACAAAAAAATTACAATCCACTCTCGGGTATTGATAATATTTGACGGAATTTGATGTTTTACCATGTAAAACAGTATACAGGATTTAACTTGGTGTTGTTGTTCTAGGTGGTGATAATATTAGATGTGGACTCACCCATTGACAGTCACTACAGGGCAAGGAAAGGAAAACGTTCTGGCCATTCCAAGCTCCTTGAGAATACTTTTCGCATGGTAAGTCCTGAGAAACTATAAAATAAAAAATACCAAAACTATTTGAATTTATAGTGAACAACAACAAGAGAGTATGGCTCGTAGATAATTCAGAAAACATGGTGAAACTGCATACATGTAGCTTTGGAAGTCTCCAGTGCGATGTTATTTTTGCATATTTTGTATACTAACATAAATATTCTGCGTATATCCTATCACTACTAATCCTTTATATTGCAAAAYCTACATATGCCTGTGAAAAATAAACCTGTATATCTTACACTGTTGTTGGTTAAATGGATTTCACCTTTTCTTACATTCACTGCAACTCATATCTTGGGCCTGCATCAAAAATATTTGAAACAGTACTGCCAGGTTACTACATGAACCTCACCTCAGTAGTATGATTTGCTAAGACTTTTGATGAAACCAATTTGCAGGAACTGGAAATAAGAAGCACAAGCCGTCGACGTCGTCACAACCAGTTGAAATGGGTACGATACACTCACTGCAAGACATACAGGTACCACACTTTAACTTTTTAACTTTAAGGTATTAGGATACGAAAAATGACCAATTGCCCGAAAAAAAATTTTCTTTTTAATTTCGTAATTTTAAACTTTTATCTTTCATATGCTTGTGAAACTTCTTGCAATTTTTGATTGGAAAAGCCAAAATTTTGAGAAAAATCGAAATCATGACTTTATCAAGACCGGAAATGTACCGTCGCTTAATATATGCACATCTGTCATGCTCCTTTGTCATTGTAAAAAGATCCTACATTGCGATCGTCCAGAACACCAGATAATTTGACAAGTGATGACAAAATGGAAGGCACAAGGCGTTTTGGCCAATACCATCGTGGCTCCCTGCAGCTTCCGGCTCCAAACAAAGAAATGTGTTTTTCTCGAATCTTTTTTGACGCTAAAACCTCAACTTCAAAAAGCTAAAAGTCCCTTGGATTTCATTCGATTTTTTTAAAATTTGGAGAGTTTATAAAGTAACTCATGATCCAAAAAACGGTGTCTCCAAATTTTGAAATTTAATTTCTTTCCAAAGTTATGACGCTTTTTACTCTAAACAACACTCCAAAAGCGATCGCTGAACTTTGATCAAAAATAGCGAGAGATAGAAAACAGATATCAAAAATCTGGGACACCCTTTTGGAGCTTATTATCTCCTGAGTATGTTAAGATATTTTTCGCAAACATAGCTTAAAATGTACGTGTCCGTTAACGTTTTCACTGAGGCATGGTCAAATTTCGCTTCGAGGACAATAACGTGAACAACAATAACAAAAATCGTATTTTGAAAATTTCTTCATAAACTAWATTTATTCAGCTTTCAGGAAATGTATACTTTGTTTGTGTTATACTATAAAGCCAGCGCGTTATTTAAGTTTGCGCGCATAGTGGTCGTAAACGTATCCTAATACCTTAAGGAGCACAGATCGTAAGTTTTCTTTAAAAATGGCAGACTGTAAAGTGCAGCTAAAAACTTACATATTTCTTTTCTTTTTTTTTTTATTCCAGGGATACAGGGCAAACAGTGGTGTCAGAGTTTGACATTACGTCACAGTTCCCACCATTTTCTTACTCACCTGTTCGTAGCTACACCCAGACTGCACTGGCTCCATTAGTGTGATGCTCATTATGCCAGGGAGTATCCATGTCACCCCTTTACAGTGACAGTTTAATCCTTACCTGCTTGCCTCTTTGGGGAGAAGAGGGACGGGGAGAAATTGTTGTGATAAAAATAAAGAGTGATCATTCTGACCCATTATGGGAAATCTGGCATACGCCGCTGATTATACATGTATTATTATTATTATTACCAGAGCCTGGTTGTACAAAGCCTGTATAGCGCTATCCGACGGATAAATCTTATCCAGTGGATAAATTTATTGGATAACAGCATAAGGCATAGTGGATAAGGATTTATCCACCAGATAGCGTTATCCAGGCTTCGTACAACCGGGCCCAGTACATTTATGTTACAGTAAATATATCTATTCCCAGAAAAAAGGATTAAAGTAAGAAGGCTTCATTCTTTTAGACTTCTTTAACTAAAAGAAACTATGAAGAAAGGAAAGAAGAAAAAAACAATTGAAGGAAATAAAGGCCAAAAAAAATACAAATTTCATACTCAAAAGTAAAAAAAAAAAACTAAAAAGGCGTACATAAGACTGTAATTACAATCATGTCTGTCACTACATTTTCTTATATTTCTATATTACATGTAGTTTTATTTTTCAATAATTAATGTGACAGCAAATAAAGAGAGAATTCCTTCTCTGTCACTGTATTACAGTCAATGGTGTACTTACTACATTACTAGCATTACATGTATTGAAATAAAATTTTTAAAAAAGCACTCAAGCTGTGTTTTTATGTGTGTATGAATGAATAAGAATGAACAAATAAACTGAAAATGGAAAGTTCCCCTCCCCATTGAAAACACAAACAATGCAAACTACTGTTAAAAAACGCCGAATTTGGTTGGTGACATGCCAAGATAAGTTATTTATTTCACATAAAACGAATATCTGATATTCGACATTGCGCAGATATCGCGTCTAACTAGTAAAAACAAATCAACTGAGCAGGCAGTAATTACATCATGGGTTCATGGTCAATAACATGATTATTCAGCATTGAAATTTATATTATTTTATTTCCACGTTATGTCATCCTTTTCAAATAAACACTTTTTGGCTAAATATTCTTATTCAACTTAAGAAATTGTTTAGATTTTGCTGTAACAGTTATTGCTATACTTATAGAGTGCACGCACTAAATCCGTGAACATTAATTAGTACTAATTAACAGAATCCTTTGTTTTCTATTGTTTATTTATCACCATTTAGTAGTAAAGTTAGTATTTGCTTCATGGGTTTAGTGCATGCACTCTATCTATTGTTTCTCTGTAATAGTTATTGCTATACATGTATTGTTGTTACTCTGTATAGTAGTTATTGTTAATACATACTGTATCTAATGTTTCTCTGCTGTCTTCTTCACAAACTTGCACCAAATACCCCAGTGATCACTTGGATAAACACCACTTGCTAGTCTCTGTTTTCCTACCAACGAAAACTCCAAAGGCTCCAAACAGTTCTCATTTTGCCCAGGACGAGCATATACCCTATCAAATCTCAACTTTGGCTTATTGGGGAATTGCCAATCTTGGTTATCATTGACACTAATATCCCAAGTAAATTTTGTATCATCTGATATTTCATTAGGGATTCCAACTTGTCCTACCTCAACATCTCTGAGATTAGTATCACCCCCAAATATCACAGTACATTCAGGATTTTGGGATAGCATCTTGTTGAAAACAATCTCCAACTGTCTCTTCCTCTCTTGCTTGCAGTTAGCTGTACTTTCTAGATGTGAAGTCATTAAGACAACCTTTATTTGCTGGTTAAAGATTGCTGGCTGCATTAAAAGGTGACGACCCATTGTACTTCGACTGAAATACAGCTCTTCAAGGGGTCCTGCTGGCTTGACGGTTTGGTCTTTTAGCATTATAGCATTAAAATATCCTGATGCACGTTTTCCACACACTGTCGTATACCYAAAGATGGTTTATTTCAAAGATAGAAAAAGATGTCACACATTTGGATAGAGTGACCACAGTAAATCCATGAAGCACTAATTACTAAATACTACAAAATAGTGCTAGTTAAACAATAGATAACAATGGAATTTGCATGAAATTGTGCTATTTAGTATTACTAAAGTTTCACAGTTATATTGTTTGCACTCTATCCATTATCACTGGGTACAATGTTCAGGCCTGTAGCAAGGGGAGGGGCTGGACCCCAATTTTTCTTATAATCGGCACAAACATAAACAGGTTAACACAATTGGAAAATTACATTACGCAACATTAGTCCCCCTATAGATATCAGGCCTTGCTATGGGCCTCATGCAAGTGGAACCCTTCTCTTGTTACTGTCAGCTAAGCTAGACATAAGCTACCAAACTTACAGATCAAATTAGGGAATAGCATCTAAGCCAATTTCAAACGTTCACTAGCATGGAAGTAGACAGGGGGTGGAGGGGGCCATTTGTTTTGTGGTTTGGCATTCCAGTGGCCAACCCAAACAGATGGCAAAGGTATTAATTTGGGACCTCCTTCACAAAACCCTGACTACACCACTGACTAGTCACCACCTTACCCCCTGGGATCCTCCCCTGTGGAGATAATGGGACTCCACTGCAGTACGTAAGTTAGAATAACAAAACAAATGATAATTGTGAAGTCTTCTGGTGTCCTTACCAACAGACTGCATGTGCATGTCTGACATACTGTATAAATTACATGCATGTAACCATACCCTTGACATAACATTTACTATTTACCCTTTACATCTCTGATGAAATACAAGCAAGGTATCGTCTATCACTTCTTGTAGGAACACAACATCTGGACGTCTTGTGTTGATCAGTTCACAAACATATCTTGTTCTTTCAACAAGTTGTTTTTCAGAGAGACCATCAATGTTCCATGTCAGTAATATCAAGTTATCATCTCTGAAAATAAGAATATTTTATACAAAATTAATGTATTTACTTGGTTGTCAATCCATACACTGTGTAGCTGTACCATATCTTACTGCAATCATGACTACAAGTTGTGATTGGATAAAATACTGAAAGGCAATGAGAAATCATATGATTCACAGCACATGTCCATACTGAAAGTCAGTACTGTATATTTTCCACTCCTAACGAAACCACTGTAAATAAAATAAATAATAAAAATAGAATAAAATCTCTTTATTTAAGTGTCTTGTCATTCTTCTAGCGCTTTCGCACTAATTGGGGACACTTTTCACTCATACACACACTACCACTACATTCAATGTTCAATGCTCACAAAGCTCAAATCACATGTTGATTTTTGTTAAAAAACGCAAACCCTATTATAGCTTTGTAGTTCATAATTGGTTAAGTTTTCTTACTTTGCATTTTGTTCTCCATCAACTCGTACACTTGAGACTCCCATACTTTTGCTAATGGGAGAACTGTCAACCTTCAGGAAATGAAAAAATAAATAAATAAAACTAATGCTGATATGAAGCTTAAGCAAAATTTGGCTAAAAAGGGACATTTGAGGTTTACATTTCTTCAATATGAAACTGGCTTTAAGCCAAAAGGGAAAAGCACAATTATGCTGAGACCAAATATCCTGTTTTGCTTCTGCCCATTTTTATAATCCCTGTTAGACTCCATTTGGGTGTAATATGTTCTTTTTTTGACACCACCTGCCATGTCCTTTAATTTTTTTATGTTAATTATATTTATTACGTTAATTAAACAAAGAAACAATACTAAGCATTGGAGTGTCAGCAAAATAATGTTCAGCTTTAGTAAATTGTTTCCCATTTGTTAAAACCATGTCATTCCCATGTGTTGTGCGTCTTTGGTTCTAGTTCCAACCAGGCCCAGTTCATACCAAAATGGGATGGCTCGCAGTACCACTATTTTCATCCATGCCATGTCCTTGTGAGCTGGAAAAATATGAGTTCAGTGCTTCCTGCAATAAACAAAATACAACTACAGTAGGTGGAGAAGCTGGTAACATACTAGGAATAAAGACAGTCCTCTGGGGTGGGAGGAGAGTATATATAGCAGGGACCCCCCCACCCCCCACCCCCCACTTTACTATAGTCTCTTATATTTTAAAATCTTAATC